TCTCTCTCTCTCTCTCTCTCTCTCTCTCTCTCTCTCTCTCTCTCTCTCTCTCTCTCTCTCTCTCTTAGCGCAGCGCTTTGGCTTCAGCGTTCTGCCCCTCACAATAGCGCACAAGTGCACCAGCACTTCCACACTTCATGCGAATGAGCAATCTGCCTCATGAGGAGGCTGGCCAATACTTTTGTAGTCTTGGATTGCACTTCAACTCGTGCCAACCTCTGCTTCTTGGGCCTGACTGGGTTCCGGTACCACATCCCCACGGCCTGTCTGCTTTCAAATGTCAGGGCCTGGAACCTTCCCGTCTGCAGCTGCTCGAGCCTGTGAGTCATGACTTTTCGATTGTGGCATATGGTTTTGATTGTGGACTGTGACTTCTGCATCGGGGACACGACTCTTGCCTGTGGAACTGCCCCTATACTTGTGGGATGTGACTCTTCAATATGACTTTTCATCATGAAACGTGATTCTTGCCCCTAAGATGTGACTGTTTGCTGGGTGCCTGTTGGACTGGACTGCTGAGGTACCCGACTGCAACTTTTCTGAAATTGACTGACTTTGACCTGTTGTAGCCAGGCCTTTGACCCTGAAGTCTGAATCGTGGAAGGCCTTTCACTCTCGCCGGCCTAATTTCGAAGTCCTATGAGAAAACAACTACCTATCTATACATTAATTCCTTTTTGAGCCCTCTCATAGTAAGACACATTCGGTGCAGTTTGAATCAGCTCTTCCCTAGTAAACCAGTGATCCTCAGATGGTTCTTGATAAGCAAATCTTACCTTGTACTGTCGCTGTGGCCTACCTCTGCGTCCGGATCTGAAAATATCTTCCCCAACAATTATGTCTACGTCATACTTCCCATCCATGTCAGGGGGAATCATCGATCTACGAGTAGGAAACAGGTCATTAGTAAAGCAAGGTAGAAGCTTGGCAGCATGAAACACAGGATAAGTGTGTAAATGTGGAGGTATCTCGACAACATAGGAAGGACCATCTATATCACCAATCACATCTAAGATCTGCCACGGTCCTCTATACGCAGGTAGTAGTTTCTGGGAGATGTTCTCCTCAGGGAGAAACTCTTTGGACTTTACCCAGACTAAATCTGCCGCGGCAAACTGCGAGGGTCTACTATGCTTGTTTGCTTGCTCTATCATTTGATACTGTGCTTTAGCTATATTTCCTTTAACCTTTTCAAAATCTTTCTAATACTGCACAACAGATTCTCAAGTTCCCGGTGGAAGTCTGTGTATCTGATCAGGATTTAAATAGTCTATGGGTGTACGAGGGCACCATCCCAAATGCAATTCGGTAGGTGTTCTGTATCCCAAATGCAATTTGGTAGGTGTTCTGCATCCCAAATGCAATTCAGTAGGTGTTCTGCAAGTAGATAGATGTACATGATTGTTATAGGCACTAGCAACTTTGGACAGATGTTCATCCCAGTCAACCTGATCTGGTCGGATGTACATTCACAGCGTCTGCTGCAGCAGTTTGTTCATTTGCTCGGTCTGTCCGTTAGTCTCAGGATGTCTACCTGAGGACATAGTCAACTTGGATCCGTAGACTTTCATAAGTTGCTGCCACTGTTCACCTGTGAACCGAGTATCTTTGTCACTAACAATGCTTAAGGGATGCCCGAAATCATTCACCCAGTGATTGAAAAATTCCCGAATTACCAAATCCGTCCTTGCTAAAGCGGGCAGTGGAATAAAAACAGTGAATTTACTAAACCTGTCCACTATAACCATAACTTGACTTTTTCCATTTCTACTTCTTATTTTAGTGTCCATGAAGTCGATAGACACAGAGTCTCCAGGACCTGACGGAATAGGCAGAGGTTTGAGTAAACCAAGGGGAGGTTGTGTGACACTCTTGTTCCGCTTACAAACTTGACAGCCTTGTGCATAAGCGATGCAGTCATGTTTCATTCCAGTCCACGTATAGGAACGCAGGAGGTTAGCATACGTCTTCCTCCAGCCGAAATGTCCCTCAGTGTCATGACATTCCCCTAGGATCAAACTTTTAATCTCTTCATTGTTTGGAATACACAGTTTATCATGCACATCCGTTTTTTCAAACAACAGTCCTTGAGTCACTCTATAATCTGAAACTTCATGAGGTGCCTCTTGCGCTTTCTTTAATAAAGCACTATAGATAGGATCAGCAGTGTATGCAGTCCTAACTTTCTCTTGCACATCAGTGCCTACATCTAAATATGTCACAATGGCACCGAAGAAGTCAGATCTCCTACTAAATGCATCGGCGTTATACTTCCCCGTGATTGGCTTCAACTCAAAATCAAACTGACCAATCTCATCTGACCACCTTGTCAGTTTAGGTGTCATACGGGCCTGCATTTTAAGCCAGCAAAGTGTCTCATGATCAAAGTACACTTTGAAGTGGCGTCCTAGTATATAGTGTCGCCAGTGACTCAGGGTTTCACGGAGAGCAAACAGTTCTCTTTCGTACGTGGAAGCGGCGACCTTCTCACTGGGCAATCAAAAAAACATAAACTCAACTGGCCTGTACCCCTTGCCATCGTCTTGCTGGAGTACGACTCCTATCCCGTATTGACTGGCGTCGGTGGTCACTATGAAAGGCAAAGATGGATCTGCAACTTTCAATGTCGGGTAGTTAATTAGACATTTCTTTAGACGCTTGAAAGATGTAGTACAGTCTTGATCTCATTTCCAGATAGTTTCTTTTTTCAACAATATGTGCAATGGGGCAGCAATTACCGTAAAGTTCCGAATGAACTTGCGGTAATAGTTGGCCAGACCAAGGAGCGAACGCAGTTCTGTCAGTGTACGTGGGTTAGGCCAATCTCTAATGGTTGCGATCTTAGCGTCTTCCGGTCTAATGTCATCACCATCTACCATATGCCCAAGATATAAAACATGACGCTTCGCCCATTCACACTTCTTGGGGTTAATCTTGAAATTACCCTCTTGCAACTTATTTAGCACAACTCGAAGGTGCTCGTTGTGTTCGCTTAGACTCTTGCTGAAAATTAAGATATCATCCAAATAAACAACGACAAACTTATTAAGCCACCCATGAAATAAGCCATTCATACATCTTTGGAAGGTTGCAGGTGCGTTAGTTAGACCAAACGACATTACAGCAAACTCATAGTGTCCGTACCTAGTCCGGAAGGCCGTATTATGCTGGTCTTCTAACTCTACCTCAATCTGATGGTAGTCAGATTTCAAATCGATTTTTGAAAAATACTTGCAACCTTGCACCCTATCCACCAGATCGTCTATCCTGGGTAGTGGCTCCGCAGTTTTTTCAGTTATAGCATTGAGCCCCCTGTACTCTATGCACATGCGCAGTTCACCGCCCTTCTTTGGTACGAATAGTACCGGGGCACCAAATGGTGAGGAACTTGGTCTAATCCACCCCTTCTCTAATAGCTCATCTAATTGCTTCCGCAATTCTTCCAATTTCATGGGAGACATTTTATAAATCGGGCCCTTGGGTATTTTGCTACCGGGTTCAAGATCGATCCGGTGCTTGATCGCTCTTTCAACTACTCCAGTCGGGGCCTCTCCCACATCTGCAAACTCACTCAACAATTTATGTATCTCGGGGGAAACAGGCTCTACCTTTCTTTCTTCTTCACTCATCGGGTGCACATACGCAACAAACACCTGATCTGCAAGGCCATTCTTGGCCACATGTCGGGCAAATGTAGGGGCACTCATACAACAATGGGCTAGGCTACTCTCTGCACCATATGCATGAAACAACCGTACCTTCTTTTTCTCACTCTGGGGACTGGGGAGATAACACTCATGCTCACCCAATTTGATGTCTGCATCCGCAACTTCGCCCCAATCAGTTCCTAAGATCATGTCAAAAGGGAGACTATCCTCCACTAAGAGTGTTAGGGAATGCAGAACATGTTCCATCTTACCCCCTGCCTCCAACCGGAAGTATGCCCTAACCCCTTCAACATAACTATCTACTATCATTTCTCTATTATCTGCCAGCTTGTTTACAACGGGCTGGTCTACTTTTTGAACTTTCAGCCCTAGGTGCATCTTCTGCAGCCCTTTCTTGCTAATATAGCTGCGCGTTGACCCACTATCTATTAAGGCGGCCACGCTTACTTTTTTACTCACTTCTACATCTGCAATTAATAACTGCCCTTTCTTTTTTCTTCATTTCGGCCCAAGCGTGGCGATGAGTGATCAGTTCATCACCAATGCTTGCGATGGAACCACCTAGAGAAGTCCTGATACAAACACCTTCTGGGCAGCTAACTAGGTGGGGGGCAACTACCGTCTCAGTATCTGCCATTGGGACCTCTGGACGGGAGGATAAAAGTCTGTTTGCATCCAGAGTCCCTGTAGAGGCAGTCTCTGTCATTGGGACCTCTGCATGGGAGGATAACAGTTTGCTTGCATCCAGAGTCCCTGTAGAGGCAACCGCAACCTCTACTCGTCGTTCCCTTTTGGGTACCTGTACTCTGGACAAAAGGGAACTATGTGGTCAGGGTCACCACACTTAAAACATTGATCGACAGCCTTCCTTTCTTCCCAAACTTTTTCATCTATCCCCATTTGTTCCCACGGTTTGGCTATGGGAATTCCAGGATGGGCTGGATACGACCGCCCGCAATTACCTCTACCTCTACCCCCTGTGGAGTTGGGGCCTCTACCACCTTGCGAGGGACCATTACCCCTTCCTCCCACATAGTAGCTACCTTCGCCACTACCCCTCTGGGCGGCGGGTCCTCTTCGCCACTACCCTTCTGGGCGGCGGGTCCTCTTCGCCACTACCCTTCTGGGCGGCGGGTCCTCTTCCTCCACCTCGACCATGGCCTCCTCTTCCTCTACCACGGCCTCTTCCTCCTAGTTGCCCTCCCCCGCAGGCTGCAACAGCCGCATAGTTCCCTCCCTGGGCTAAGTGACTATTGTTGTTTTTTTCTAACCCATAATCTATTTGGTCATAGGTAAGTGACTCTACCCCTCCTTCAAAGGTGACCAGTAGGTTATCTTTGCCTGCTATATTACCCGAAAATGTCCGTTTTTTCCACTTCTTTCCTGCCTGCAGGTCTTTCTTGTAATGACAGTATTGTGCCTCCTGTAGAAACCCAGCATGATCTACTGCAATCTTGCTAAATTCTCATAGGTCATCCCCTCTTCTTTGGTGCGGGGATATAGTTGTGTTTTTAGGGGATCTGGGAGCGCTCTAGCAAAGTTATTTAGGATTTGTGCTGGTGTCAATCCGTGATCTGGGCATTGCAACAATTCATCCATTGTAGCCTTGAGGGCTGACGCACTCTTCCACTTACGGTCACTTATGTTGAGGATCAAGGATTCTATTCTACAGGCCATATTCTTATTTTAAATCTCTCTATGAGGGCCCTAAAGAAATCCTCAATACGCGTACGTTGCAAATATTGAACCATGGTAGTGCATCCAACCTCTTTCATCAAGGAGATGGCAAAGCTAACGACATCCCTTCTCTTCTAACAACTTTTTCTTCACTTCCTCCTTTTTTTTCTTCTCCTCCTTTTCTTCTCCTCTTTCTTTCTCTTCTAACAACTTTTTCTTCACTTCCTCCTTTTTTTTCTTCTCCTCCTTTTCTTTTTTCTTCTCAGCCAGGACCTTTGCCTGCTCCTCAGCTGTATTCTACTGTGTTGACTTCCCAGACCTTAACACCACAAGTGAACAGAAAGTCCGTTGGAAGCCAAGAGGGAAAATGAAGCGAAGAAGGGGGCCCCAAAGCACGGACAGGGCCAGAAGTGAGAACATGAGGTAGTCGTCCATGGTGATTTTTGCACAGGTAAGCGGCATCCACCTCCTCACCACTTAGACCTAACCCCAACTACTATTCACTAACTCCTGAGTGGGTCTGACTGTTGCTGACTG